GAAATGCAAATTAAAACCACACTTAGATTCCATCTCACTCCAGAAAGAATGGCCAGGATCAAGAAAACTACCAACAACAAATGCTGGAGAGGCTATGGGGAAAAAGGAACACTACTGCACTGTTGGTGGGAGTGTAGACTGATGCAACGACTGTGGAGATCAGTCTGGAGATTCCTCAGAAAGCTGAGATTGGAAGTCCCCTTTGACCCAGCTATTCCACTTCTAGGCATATTCCCAGAAGAACTGAAAACATCATACCACAGTGATACATGTGCACCCATGTTTATAGCAGCACAATTTATAATAGCCAGATCTTGGAAACAACCTCAGTGTCCATCAACTGAGTAATGGATAAAATATATGTGGTATTTTTATATAATGGAGTACTACTCAGCTATAAAGAATGATCACATTGAGATGTTTATAAATAAATGGATGCAACTTGAGACTGTACTCATAAGCGAAATAAATCAAACTCACATGTATAAAAACCATATAGTCGGGCTGGGGATTTAGCTCAGCGGCATAAGCATCTGCCTTGCAAGCAGGCGGTCGTGAGTTTGGTCCCTGGTACCGATAAAAAGTTAAAGAAAAAAAAAACCATATAGTCTCCCTAGTGTAAGAAATGGTAAGAGAACATATGATTTTATGGTAATCATGATTCCCCATTACATTGCTTTGAAGCCTTATAATGTTTTCATTCATTAGTTGGAATGGTTTTATTCTGCTTTGTTTGATTTTATTATGTGTGATGGTATGAACAGCTATTTTGAAGAAAACAAGACATTATGATAGCCATTGCTGATTTAATATAATCTTGCTTTGAAGTTCTACCATGCTTTAGTTCTGTTTCCATTGGTTCTATCATGTTGTATCTTATTGGATTTTAATATGTGTGATAGTATAAATAAATTTTTATGGAAAATGAGACAATATAGTAGCCATTGTTCATTTTCTGTTATTTGGTTCTGAATGCTCTGTAAAACCATTCTCTTGAATGGTTTTACACTATTTTGTTATGTTTGATACTATTGTATGTGAAGGTATGCTGAACTAATTCAAAGAAAGAGACATTATGGCAGCTACTGTTAGTATCAGGTTGTCTTGTGGTGAAGTACTGTGTTACTTACATTGTTCTGTTCTGATCTGCTTTGTTCTGTCCTCTTATGTCTTAATCTCTTTAAAATAAAAACAATTTTTAAAAAAACCTGGGAGGCATTATTTCAGGGAAGGCTGGTCTCTAATTAGATCATTTCCACCATTCTTCCTTGTTATAATTTCCAGATTCCCCAAGAAATCATGCCTTTTTAATTAGGGAAGTAGTTTGGGCTGTCCAGTAGTGGATGCTCCAGGATGAGGGGCATGATCAGCACTCTTGGTCATGGGGCTGTCATAGTGCCCTATCTTGCTTCTCTGCCTGCCTTTTGGTTTCCTTCAGCTTCTACTATTTCAATCTTGAAATGTATAACAGCCACTTTCCTTAGTGCCCTTATAGCATGTAGGAGGTGTAAAATTTCTTCTTTGTAATTTATTTTTTCCCCAGTAGTCAAGATACCCATCTCATTATGTATAGCTTCATTAACATGTAATGTAGCAAAGTCATACTTGGAATATGTACAGATGTTAGCCTTTTTATATGGTGCTAGTAAAAAAGCCCTTGTCAAGAATATTAACCCTGCCTTTTGTGTTGAGGATCCAGTAGGCAGAGGGTGAGCCTCCATCATGGATTCTAGTATCTAGTTGCATATCATGCCCATTGGACCCCTTCTAATACACAACTGCTTTCATCTGTGAAGTATCCAACATCTGGGTCTCCAAGAGAATGATCTATAAGATCCAAGAGAATGATCTATAAGAATACCTCACCCATGGTTTCCACAAGTTGTGAAAGATTGCTCCCAATTCAATTATGAGTAGAGTATCTGTCTTAATGTTTACTGTTAGAATTAACCAAGCATTTATGAACTGGAGCTCCTGATAATGTGTGATCCTTGGATTTGACAACCAGTGGTGCCCCCTTTTGTCCATTAAAATTATGACTGAGTGTTGTACTCGAATGGTCAGTTACTTTCCCAAAGTCAACCTATTTCCTGAATCAGTAGGGCAGTGGCAACAAGTGCCCTGAAGCATGGAGAACATCCTAGGACTTCAGAGTCTTATTATTTTGACAAATATACTACCAGCCAATACCAATATCCCAAGACCTGAGTCAGGACTCTGGTGGCCATTCCCTTCTGCTTGTGGGCCTGTAGGAGACAGACTTAGTTATATCAGGCAGTCCTAAGGCTGGGATCTGAGTCAAGGTTCCCTTGATTTGTTTAACTGTCCTTTCTTGATCTGCTTCCCAGATGAGGGGCTTCCTTACCCATATTTGTGACTTCATAAAGGTACTTAACTATAAGTGAGAAATTTTGGATGCAGATATGACAGAATTCCATTGCTCACAAGAACTCTCTTTTCTGGCATTGGTGGCTGGGATTGGGAGGGCACAAATAGCTGGTTTCTTTTGATGCCGAGTTAATGCTCCTTTTGTGTCACCATTAAGCCCGAATACATGACTTCTTGTCAGCAAATTTGCACCCTTTTTTGGACACCTTAAATCCTGTGTTACAAAATAGATGAAAGAGGTCTCTAGTTCCTTGATAGCAGTTGACTGGTTGGGGCTTCCAAAAGGAAGTTATTTACATATTGTAGCAAGGCACAGTTGTCCTCTGGTATAATGAAAGCTTTGAGGTCACTGGATAGGGTCATTCCAAAGATCACTGGAGAATTTTTGAATTGAGGAAAAAATCTTCTTTTGAGTTACTTCAAATGCGTGATGTACAGCACTGCTTCTGTTTTTGTCCCACGTGACCGTGTGCTTCATGACTCTAGTGTGACAAACTGAGATTCCTTAAAGTGTCTCAGACCATCCCATTTACTCTGGGCAGGTAAGTATTCAAGGATTATAAGAAAGAAGAAAAGCAAAGTCAGGGAAAGAATAAAGAAGGACAAACTCATACACATTCTAACGAAGGAGGAGATGTGAGCAATGTGTGGCTGTCATCTGTATACCTTGCCAGGACCAAACTACTGTATCAAGGTGAGGGCTTACACATGGTCCCAGACCTGCTCTTTCAGAGATTTTAATACATGGTTCCTAGAAACAATCTTCCCATGCCACACCGCAAATCTAAGAATTCTATGGAAAGTTTGTGTAGGTGAATGAAGAGCTCTCTCCCTATCCTTAGCTGAGGCTAGTGCTGACAGGCAACAGAGAGACAGACAGACAGACAGGGAATCTGCGATGATTCTGAAATGCTAAAACATGTTTTGGGTGTGAAATATTTTTAATTGGTCCATGAGATATTAACATCTCTAATAAGCCCTAATTCTTAGATTTAATTCAGTCAATTAGCAGACAAGCTCACAAGATTGTACAATGACAGCAGAGATAAGAGTCTCCTCAAATCTTGGGAAGACAATAGGCTTAAAAATAACTACAATGAAAAGTACAGAGAGAGGAAGGGATAAGTGTGGGATGAAATAGATTGTTTGGGATAGACTGTGAACGTTGGATCCCAGGGGACTCCTGTGAGTTAGGAATAAAAACACAGAGCTTTCCAACCCTCTAGTCACCAGTCTTTCAAAAGATTGTAATAAAAGCCTTGCTTTCAGTGCCTCTGGGGCCCAAGTTTTCTTTTTCTTTTTTCGTTACTGGGGATCGAACTCATGACCGCAGGCTTGCAAAGCAGGTGCTTGAGCCACTGAGCTAAATCCCCACCATCTTATTTTTTTCTTTTTGATCTGGACCAGTAAGATCATTTTTCCCATGGGTGAATGGCAGCACACACCACTGTGCAGTGTACTGGGTGATTGACAAATGCTAGAAATTGATACACTAATGCTTCAGTGACCAAAACCAAACATGACCTCACTGTGTTGCCCAGGGTAGACTTGAATTTGGGATCCCTCTGACTCAGCCTTGGTAGTAGCTGGGATTATACTTCCAAAACCTTCTTGCCTTGTTAAGAAGCAACAGATTTCAAATGACCAGTTTCCTACTGGAAAAGAAATGGGATTTAGAGATACTGAGCCCCAGGCCTGCGCTGAATATGAAAGGAACAACTCTTGGACTCAATTTCCTCATCCAGAAAATGAAGAGGACAGTACTCTTAGACTGCTGAGGATTCCATGACAAACACATGGAAATATTTTTAGAAAGCTAACAACAACAACAAAAAGGCTAGGTGTGGTGGCTTATATAAATATGTTCAGTGTAGACACAATTTTTGTCAGAATATTTTCAGTACATATTTGGTTAGATCCACTGATACAGAACCAATGAAAATGAAGGGCCAAGTACATATGTACACTTTTCTTATACATTAGATAATTGTTTATTTATTAATCAGTCATTCAGCAATCAATAATTGAGCTACAACTACATAGCAGGCCCCATTAAGTATCACTCATTTTTCCTTTCAATGCCAAAGTCTTCTTGGTGGCATGCTATGCTGCAGTAAGTGGTGAAAACTATTCCTACCTCTTACGTTTTCTACTGAATCTACTCTCCCAAACTGATGAGATTATCACTTATAAAAACTGTAAATACTCTTTTTGGTAAGTTCATTTTAAGTGTGATGGTAGAAAACTTCTCAATGGTTATTAAAAAGAAAAAATGCATGTATACTAGCAATCCCCAGGAGAGATCAGCATCCAAAATGCCACACAATCAGACAAAAATTACAATTTTGCTAGGATGGTCCCTTTTTCACCATCCAGGTGTCTGTGGAAGAAACTCTGGAGTTGTTTCCATGCATCCACCTGGGCCATGGCATGAGACCTGGGCTCCCCTCCCCAGAAGACAAGGCTACCCAGTATGGGGTGCAGAGAAGCTGTGCACAGGGGGAAGAAGGGGAGCTCAATAAAATGGCCTGTTTCTGGGTAACAGATGACCTGGGGCTTTTTCTTCCCATGGGCCTGCAAGCGCTTAGAGGCCTCACTAGCATAGAACTCACTTTTCCAGTTGTGGTCATCCTGACCTACAAGGAACAGGAAGGTGGTGTCAGACCTTTCCACAGGAATTAAGCTCTTCTGGTCAGGTCCTTCCAAAGGATTGTTCAGAACATCCACAATGTCTTTAAGACCATCTTTGATTACCTTGGTTCGATTTAGGTCTTTGCCCAGAGGGGGCAGGGTCACATCCTTGTACCTCAAGGTGATCTCAACATTGGCGATGGAGCCATTGATGATGACAGCAGCAGTGATGCCTTTCAGGAAAGAGGCCATGGAGATGCAGAGCTCACCCCCTTTCGAACTACCAAGCAGCCCAATTCCTGGGCCCTTTACCTGACAAAAGGACATGAAAAAGAGAATAAATTCTTAGTGCAAATCTGACTCTATCAATACCCCAACTTTAAGAAGATCACTAAGGCTATGTAGAGCTGTCTCCTTAGCAGCGAGATGAGGAGTGAACCCCTATGACACAGGATCTATCCAAAGCTCAAATGAGAAGCCCATGTAAAGCACTTGGCATGGTGCTTATTAAGGAAAAGCATTCAAGCACAGAGGTGTTGCCATGGTCGTCTCCAGCATCTTTATCCTTTAGTATGTCCTGCATTGAGATAAATCCAGGGAAATGGGAAAATGTTCAAATTGAAGCTAGGTAAATACATTGTGTATGTAAGACTCTAAGATATACATAAAAGTAATGTTGGTGAAGAGAAGTGCTGTATTTAATAAAATAAAATATTCTTCCATAGTGGATTGATAGTTATTTGTGCTATGAATGTTAGAAATAATAAGTGCTTTCTAGCTAGTATACCATATTCATGTAGTACAAATTCACCAACAAGTATTTATGCAAAAACTCAAATAATTCATACAAGCCTACTTGGCAGCCACTATATCATTACCAATTACTTTTGTATTTACTTTATTTTTAATATGTAAGCAGTAGTGGGTACTGAAACGTTTAAAAATATAAAAGCTAGAATGGTCCTTCTAAGAGTACCACGACTACTAATAAAGAGAGCTAACATATGAGCTTTTGCAAAGGGAGGCTCTTCCTGGGTCTATCTAGTCCCATACAGTTTCATGCACACTATCCTTCATCAACATCCTTTTAATTTCATTATTAGTGTTTTTACTGCTGAGATTCCTTTTTCCCTAACCTTTCCTCCCCAGTCCCTACAACTGTGTTGTGTGTCATGTGGACATGGACCTTATCCTTTTCACTCTATGCATTCAAAAGCGCCTGCATCCTCTAGTGTTTGCTGCATGAGTGGATGTATGTTAATCATCAAATGTCAGGCTCATTTCAAAGATTACCCAAGTATGGTTCATTTAGCTTTTATAAGTCTGGAGGCTGGATACAAACCGGCATACCCTCAAAGTAGCACCACCTCTCCTGATTTACCTCTGCCTATCCTGCTGTCAGGACCAGAAGACCTGCATCTCTCGGAACCTTTTCTCATGGGCAAAATGAAATCCTTGGTCACCCCTAACTGGGATTCAACACTTGACTGGATGCCCAACTTTATCACCCCAGCTCAGATATCTACTTTTCTCTATGAGACTGAAAGACACTTAATTTTTTTTTTCACAGAGGATCCTAAGGTCACTTAACTGAAAATCTGTACTGCATCAGGGAAGTATTTAGAGCCTGCTCTCTGAACCAAAAGATTGAAGGAATAGCCAACCTGAGGGTGACAGAGCAGGTAGTTCACAGCTTCTTCAAAGTACTCCAGGTGGAAAACATCTGTGTGCTTAGGGAGGTCGTCATAGTTATAATAAGCTAGAGCCATCACAGCAAAGCCCTTCCCAGCCAGCAGACTAGCTCGATACTCTAGAAGGCCTCCTCCAGCTCCAAAGAGGTCCACTATCCCAGGAAAAGGCCCAGGTCCTTGAAAAGAAACAAAACAAAGATGTGATCCTTTGGTGGGTGACTTTTAGAATCTAATTGAGTCTGATTTATTTGGGAAGCCTTGGGGGTGGGATGAGCATTCAATATTCTCCTATTTTGAGGGGCTGTTCTGTTGGGACCCAGAGAAAGTAACTAAATGGTAAGAGATTTCCTTGTCCTGTGAACTTGACTCACTCCCTTGAGTGATAGCGAGAGGTAGGAAGGATTTAGAATTTACTCAGGGTAGCAGCATTGGCACTGAGTCCACAGGAGTCCTTATGTGGTGCTGAGGGTCCAGCATTAATGATGTCCAGTGTTGGCACAGTACTGTGACCTTAGCAGGGTTCTTGGTGAAGTCTCCCTTGACTGTCTCATTTTTCTGATCCTAGTCTTCGGGACAATTGGGATCCTAAACTTTACCTCACAGTAAATCCCTTTCCTATTTAAGAAACAATAAGTCTTTACTTGCAACTCAAAAATTCTAATCGAGCTTCCATTATGGTGATGTCAAAATCCATCGTGAGAAAAAACTGCAAAGTCTTAGGCAGTGTCTGGACATTCTATGTCAAGGCTTATCATCTTCCAGATTGCCATCAGAATGGTCAAACTCAGTCCACACTTCATCTCCACCTCCTGCCCAGAGTCCCACTTCTTTGTAAGTCAGGTTTTAGTTAACAAAGCTCCAGGTTATGAGTTTTTGTTTTCCACATCTGAGGCCAGTGGCAAAACCCATCTATACTATATATAATAGGTTGATGAATAGAGCAAAATTTACGTGGTTTTCTTTGATGATCATTAAGGTTGCTGCAATTGCTGTTTTAAGTATCCTGTAAGCTCCACATACAAACATTTTTCAGGCACTGTACATACAAGATACACGCCTAAGTTACTTAGATAATATATATATTTGAATTTTGACTAAGAGCGACCAAGTTGTTTTTCAAAGGTGCTTTATTGATTTACACTCGCACGACAGGTGTAGACTGTTTGTGGTACTGCATCACATCTTCACCCACACTCGAAACCAGGTTTTCAACAAATATATTTGTTTAATTGAGGGATATGAGGTATGAGAAGGAATTTCCTAATACTTTTAATGTGCCTGTTTATGTTATCTGAGTTGAGAATCTCTTCACATGTTTACTGGCCTTCTTTTTCCTGTTTCCTTTGCAAATGAATGCCACCTCTTTGGCCTGTTTTTCTAAGAAGCTGGGGGTGCCTTTATTGGCTCATATTAGAAACATCTTCTATTGCTTATGAATACACCCACAATGTTTTTCCTCATGGTTCTTTTTTCAATTTGTGCAACCCCACAGCCTTGAAGTTAGAGGTTGAAGTTAGGGAACACTGAGCTACACCCACAGTCCTTTCATATTTTGAGACAAGTTTTTACTATGTTGGCCAGGCTGATCTCTACTCCTCCATTAGAGTAGCTGAGATTACAAGGGTGTGACATGTTGTCTAGCTGCTAGTAATATACGTCTCTTCAGTTCACTTGGAATTTGTTTTGTGTATTAGATAAGATAGGAATCTCAGTAAGTAGCCAATACAATTGCCTTTCCCTTATAATCTATGCATTGGTGGCAAAACTATGGCACACATCCCACAGCCACCTGTTATTATCAAAAGCTCTAAAATGTTCACCATCCCTGATCTGTATTATATTCCATGCCTTCCTGTGTGTATACATCAATTTAGGAATTGTCTATTCTATTGACCCATTTGACTATTCTTATATCAACCTGTTTAATATTAAGTGTCTTATTCATTATCCTCTTATTCCTGTTTCTTTTTTTAAATAGTCTTATATACTGAAATGTTTGTTCTCTTGTAGATACGTGCTTCATGCACAAATGCATGCACAAATATGCTTGTTTGCTTAAAATAGAGGATTCGTGTTTTTACAAATTCTTTCATGCAGTAATATATTTTGCACATCGTGCATCCTCTGACAAAAGTACACATGGATTCACCTTATTCTAAAGTTTCTAACAGTGGATTATTTTAAACTATAGGTATGATAAGTCCATTCTCTAAGCGATGGACATTTAGGTTGCCCTCCATTTCTCATTATGACACACTGATATAGGAATGATATAGGAACTCTAAATTATATGGTGGAAATATAATAACTCCCAGCATGCTAGATATCTGATATGCAAGTTTTGTTTCCCAAAATGGATGAATTCTAAGACACAAAGGAGGTTAAGAATAGGAAATACTTATTGAGAGGTAGAGATATAGCTCTTGAGAGGCAGGAAGTGTCCTGAGTGATTTGCCAAGGACCCCACTTTTCAGGGTTAGTTATATAGAGCACAACCACATGGGTACAATGTGGGTTAAAACTATGATCAACCAGTAAGATAATAAGTATAAACATTGAGGTAATATTGATTAATGGGGAAGTAAGTCACATACCAAGTTTTCATGGAAAGAACAAAGAACTTCTGTTCATGCAGCAAAATGTATTATTGCTTGAAAGAAGTGAGGAATTCAAGGGTCTTGTTCACCCTCCAAGGTGCCAATGTCTATCTAGACTTTATTGGATTAGAGGTTAACTTGTATCTTATCCTTTGATGAAGATTGTATACCTGGCCATTTTGTGTTGATTTTGAGGCTGGGCATCTAACAGCTGTGCCTCCAGTCACAGTTGTAATGAGTTTTCATCTTGGGGCTGACTCTCCAGTGGGCCCAGCCCCATCAGACTGCTTATAATATTTTTATCTCATTTAGTTCTCTATAATAAAAGTAGTCTTATATGTAGGATTATGGAATATACAGGAGATTCTGGCAGTTCTTAAGAGGGAAGTCAATGGATTGCAGGAGTACAAAAGCCATGCATTACTCAAACAAGGACAAGATCAAAAGGATCTCAGCCTAGAAGACAAAGGGTCTGTCCTGTACTTGAAAGAATAAGGACCTCAGTGCTTGTAATTTGCAATCAGTAAGGGGGTTGGGGAACCCACTGTGGAACATGAGATATGTTTTAACACTAGAGCTTAATTGTAATACTTAATGTCTGGTAAAATAAGTGCCTTAGTCATTATCATCTGCAACCTGACTCTTTTTTTAGAATTGCAGGAATTATGCTTTTCAGCCTTCCCAAGAAACACTGAAGTTTATAAACTGAATTTTAACTGGAATATTAGATTAAAGGGCAGAGATTCAACTGCCTGTGAGCTGCCCATTAACTGTCAAGTAAAAATGTCATATGGAAGACAACACTGTAATGTAAAGCCCTTTGTACTGTTAATTTATTTGCTATTTAAATATGTAACTATCATATTTGAAGTTTATTTACCAAAGAACCATGTTGCCAATTTTAGAAGGTTTCTTCCATAGAAGGAACCTAGAGCAGTGTTAGGCATATGAATTTTAGTGAGAGAGCTGAACTATTGAATAAAACATAAATTATCCTTGTTTGTTTGTTTTGTGGTTTTATTTTTTGATACCTGGTATTGCGAAGTAATTCAAGCCAGCTTTGTACTCACTATGTAGGTAGGACAAGCTAGCCTGGAACTCATGGCCATCTCCTGCCTCAGCCTTCCAAGAGCTGGGATTACCCAGGCATGAGCCACCACACTCAGCTACAGATAAACTGTCATTTGTGTCTTCTGTGTGCACGCCTGTCTGTCAGTCAGCAGTCCCAGTTCTGACCTCTGCTGAAAGGGAATTCTAGCTGTCCATAGAGTCCCTGAGAACAGCTCTCGGTGAGCCCCAGCAAAGTGCCCTTTGCTCTAAGCACAGGTTCTCACTCTTCATCTGCCTCAGAAACAACAGGGAAAAGTGGTTCAACTCAGGATGCTGGTTCCACTCCCAACCTGCAGGCTCTTGCAGTGTGAGAGGACCAAATAGCATTTTTAAAAAGTTTCCTGGAGAGGCTGCTAGTTCCTCCCCTTGGCCTGAATCACTGATCCAGAGCCCCTGAGCTCCATCATGGACCTGTATACAAATCACCTGCCAATTTCTCTTGTCCCCAATCAGATTCCACCTCAGCAGGTTCTGAGGAAGCCAGGCATTCTAAGCACCTTCGGTACTGCTCAGACTTTAACTGTAGCCAAAAAGTCGGTCACACTTGCAGTGACCACAGACCTCTAAGGGTTCCTTGGAGGGCTTGGGAGAGGAAGACAGAAGAGGTTAGACCAGAGGGGGCAGCAGTGTCTCACCTGGGGGCAGGAAGAGGGTGGCCCGCACGCGGCCCTCCCGCACAGGCACGCGCCGCACCCCGGGCGACAGGAAGTGGCGCTCGTGCACCGCGCTGGCCAGCAGCTTGCCCTGGTCGGGCTCGTGTCCGTCCAGCACCTCCAGCTCCACCACGAAGGGCGTCTGCACGTCCCGCTTGAGCAGGCGCCAGAAAGGCCTGTCGGGCTGCATGGCCCAGAGCAGCCCCATGGGCTCCAGGCCCGCGAAGCTGCCGCCCAGCGCGGGCGCGCGCTGCAGGTCCAGCCGGCCGGCGGCGTCGGCGCGGTAGCGCGCGTGGGCCCGGAAGAGCGCGCCCTTCTCGTCGCGCAGGGCGGCGCGCAGCGTGACGGGCTGCCGGGGGGCGAGGCGGTGCACGGCGACGCGCAGCGGCTCGTCCCAGAGGCTGCGGCCTGCGGGCTCCAGGATCACGGTGGGCGCCATGGGTCCTTGATGAAGAGAGTTGAACTGGATGGAGGCAGAGTGAGATCAGAGCTAACTTCTCTTGGCTTCTCCGCTGGGGAAGCGCTACTGATTGATGTCTTAAGACTGTTCTCTTCTGTACGTGTCAGCTCTGCAGTGGCTTTTGGAGTTTGTGTAATACAACAACACACCGTGGATGGAGAAGACCAATTTGTGAAAGAGTGATGATTACTGATGCGAGTGATAAAGGTACAAAGAGTAATGAACTAGAAAATATGATCAGGGTACGTTCCATTCCAAAGAGGAACTCCTAATCTCCTAATCTCTCTCTACCTGAGCACAGAGCACAAACTCACAAGCAAAAGGTTTAATTTTTTTGAGAGTGAATTTGTCCCAAAAGAAAAAAAAATCCTAACAAAATAATGAGAGCAACAATATTTAATACATTTTATTATATTTTAAGTAATTGCTCGGGATACAAGATATGGGCATAAAAATTTCTCCAATTGATACTAGCACCAGCCTCCCTTTTAATGAACTAAGAGATACCAATAGTATAATTGATTTGCATTTTTCTCTAGTGGCTTTTTCCCTTTCTCCCATCGTACTTCCTTTGTCCTTTTGAACATTTTCTTACCATTTCACAGTATCCGTTATGCATTTTAGACCTTATGTACTCTTTCAGTTTCTTACACCAGAGAGACAATATGATGTTTACACATGTAAGTCTGTTTTATTTCTCTTATGAATATGGTCGTATGTTGCATCCACTTATCGGTAAGAGTCTCAAGTTTATCCTGCTTTATGACTGAGCAGTACTCCATAAAAAGACCACATCTTTTTTTATCCATTCTTCAGTTGGTGCGCATTTAGGCTGTATCCAAGATTTAGCTATTACAAATTGTGCAGCTATAAACATGATTGTACATCTATTTTGGTTTGATGTTTTTAATTCTTTTGGAACACTATCCAGAAGGGGAACAGCTGGGTCAAATGAGATGTCTAATCCTAGTTACTTGCTGGGAATTGCATGCAGGTCTTCTGCATGCAAGGCAAGAACTCTATCACTGAGCCACATTCCCCAGCTCCCGTGCTTTTAACTATATTGGGGAATAAACTTTTAATTATACTGTGGAGTATTTCAGGAAGGAAGTAGCTGCATAGAATGCAAGTACTAGTTTTAGTTTGTTGAGGAATGTCCACACTGATTTCCACAGTGGTTACACCAGTCTACAGTCCCACCACCAGTGAAGAAGTGTTCCTTTTTCCCCATATCCCCTCCAGCTTTTGGTACTGGTTGATTTCTTGATGACAGACATTGTTTCTGAGGTGAGGTGGACTCTCGGTGTTTTTTCATGCCTATATCTTGTACTCTGAATATCTACTGTGTAGAAAACATTATGCAAGCCGGGCTGGTGGCGCGCACCTGTAGTCCCAGCTACTTGGGAGGCTGAGGTGGGAGGATCGCTTGAGTCCAGGAGTTCTGGGCTGCAGTGCGCTATGCCGATCGGGTGTCCGCACTAAGTTCGGCATCAGTATGGTGACCTCCGGGGAGCGGAGACCAACAGGTTGCCTAAGGAGGGGTGAACCAGCCCAGGTCGGAAACGGAGCAGGTCAAAACTCCCGTGCTGATCAGTAGTGGGATCGCGCCTGTGAATAGCCACTGCACTCCAGCCTGGGCAATATAGTGAGACCCTGTCTCTAAAATATAAATAAATAAATAAAAAAGAAAACATTATGCAGTGCATTAATTATTGGTACTCCCCTACTGGCCTGTTTTGAAACTGTTTCAGCGGGGTTTTTTTTTTTCTTTTTAAAATAAAAAATAAATAGAATGGTGTACTGTTTCTCCAGGCTTCCCCCTGCAGAGAATGTAAAATGTCCCACCCACTCTGCAAAGAAAGAGTCAATACTAACAGTCCTCTGACCATAGGTTGATTAAATCTATATTGAAATATTTTCTGGGCAGTAAGGACCCTGCCATAGGATTCCACTAGGGAGCCAGATCCCTTTGAGAAGTAGAAAGAAAACACCCTCTGCATAGCAACAAACACCTGAACTGACAGTCTGCAATTTGACCTAGTGATTTACAAAGATTTTCCTATAGACACACAGTGTCACTTACTGTTAACTTAAGTTCATTTTGTTTTCTCACTCACCACCTGGGATTCATCTCTGTATCTGTTAACTCAGTGGCAGAAAAATGGAAAAAGAGTTACAGTGGGAACAAAGGCCCACTTGCTGTTGTGTCATAGCTCCTGTTTCACTTGTGAAATAGCCTGCTACTCTGTCATGTGCACAGCTTGGGTGAAATGAGAAAGCTCAGCATGTTTCCATTTTTGTATTTGAATAAGTGCTTTCCCCAAGATAACAATCAGGTAATTTCTGTGTGCTCCCAAGGCCAGAGGCATTGCATCAGTGGTAATTTCCTGATTTGGAGACTAACTCTGATGTGTATTAGAATGTACATCCACATTCTAGGAAGCTCATGACTAATACAGGGATCTCCTCTATTTTTGCAAGATTTGTGTAAGTGTACAATTATTTCAAAGCAAAAAGTTTAGTAAAACAAAATCAAAACACAACAATCTCTGGGAATGATGACACCAACTTGGAGGAGCTTCAGTTTTGTGTCCTACTTGTGACATTATTGAAGCTTGACCTTTCCTGTCCTCTCTCATCCATATGGTCAAACATTAAGATCTTCCTAATGGATGAGGTTCCTAGCAGTCTGCGTTATCTATAACCTGTGTCTGTAATCTTTTGAAATTCCTATGTTTTTTGTCCATAGTTTATAATTTAGGCATACAGTTAGTCTAGAGGAGTCTTTCAGTGGGCCTTTAGGGTCATTTGCCATTCCCTCTGAAGGGTGTCTTCCTTAGTCTTTAGAGAAAGGCTCCCTGTATTCAGAGAGATCAGTTTCAATAAAAGGTACAGTTTTCAAGAACAGCCACTGGTTGTCTGGGTACAAAAACACAGTGTCACCCTTGTCCTGGTTAAGTCCTTTGTTGTCTCATCATCTCCCAGCACCTTGAACTATGGAAGTTATGTGGTTGACTGCTTGTCAAGGTCTTTGCTCCATTTACAGTGATATTTAGTATTTTGAAAAATTAAACCTTTAAGGTCTAGATTGATTGCTCTGTGATTTTATTAAATAACCAATATGCATGACCAGATTGGCTGCCCAAGCAAATCTTATTACATAAATATAGTGAGACACTGACATACAAAGTCTCCTATTTGCCAACCCATTGTGCATTGCCAACACAAATCACTTCTTATAATAGCTCTGCCTCTATTTGGGAGAAAAGGATTTAATTATTTGGAAACATAGATGATGTTTTCTTTATATTTTAGTGAATAGCAGATTATTCGGGCAAGCATACACTCATCAAACACAGACACAAACTATGTAATGATTGTAATGTCACATTCAAACAGAGGCGTCACTCACTATAAGACTCTCATCCCTAATTCAGCCTCCTCAATCTGTCCTATAATATTTCTCCTATAATTCTTTATCCTAAAATAGAACAATTAAATATATTTCATGGTTGCCTACTGCTCATTTAGCCTTTTCCCTTAACAGTTAAACTGTTGCAGAGCTTCTTCCAAGGAGAAATTCAAGAGCACAGTTCTAGAAATTAAACACTACAGATTTGTCTGCGGCTGAATTTAGTGGGTTAGAGAACTGCTATCTTGACTGGAGGGTGATTACGTCAAGGTCCAAGATTTATGGGCTTTTGTTATGGGTCAAAAATGAGGAAGACAGAACCGCCACCTCCACCAGACGACCAAGTGTAACAAGCCTTGTTAAAACTATGCACCTTATTAGGTAAACACAAGTAGGCAAAAGAGTCTGATGGTCACAGATTACAAATCAACTCTGGCTCAAGACAACCACAGCCTCTTCCTATTATTCCCATCTAAACCCCCTCAGCCTGTAAGAGAGGGCTGTTTTGGTATTTGTTTGTCTTTAGTCCCTCTCAGGTATCAACCACAATTAAAAACTGTGCTCTTTGGTGGAGCTCCGTTCTCTCTCTTTCCTAACATTCCCTGACAACTACCTCTGACCCTTTCCAGGATTTGCAGCATCTTTCTTGGGAATGATAGCCAATTACAGCTTTCCCTTTCTCATTTGCATCAGTGTAAAAGATTCTAGCAAGTGTTAGCCTATCAGAGGTTTTCTAGAAAATAATGATATTTATTTGGACTAGAATAGCATTGTGAGAGCAACTGCTATAGTAAATAATGAACGTATTCATAGATGTCAAGGGGAAGTTTGTAAAGGAAAAAATGAGGAGGGTTACCTAGAATATTTTGAAATAGTAACCCATGGCTACAAGAAATTGTGACAAAGATGGAGTAAGTTGGAAGTTCAACAGTAATAACTGGGGAGATGTTGTTGCAGTAATTGTATGTGTGTAATATTGTCTTGGTCTTTGTGCAACATTTTCCTGCCAGTGTTGTTTGATAGTATCAGGCAATGCTCTGTAAGATCTCTTCTTTCATAACCTCCTACCTGTATTTATTTAGTTATTGTTTAGGATTGACACCAGACCAGAAATCAATGTGATTCTGAGAACTTTCTTCCTCCTTTTGATCAAGATTATCTTTCTTAAAAATAGGATCATAGTTCCATTTTAGTTTACAAAACTACTTTCATCAGTGAACCATGCCTCTTCTGTGTCTTGGAGGGGCAGGTTGATGATATCCTACTTGCTTGTGTAGGTCTAGAAAATCACTGCTAACAGGCTGTACTCTGGGCCTGTAGGCATTAGCAAGTCAGGCTTAAGAGTACTGAAAGTTTTATAATAACCACAGGAATGTCTAGGGACATGGCCCTTTACTTGCAAAACGGTTCCCCTGTTAGCTACAACTAACCTTTCATCTCCAAAATAGCCTTGTTCTGATGTGGAATGAGGACTTCTCATCTCTGTCCCAAAGTGAATTTTATAACTTGCTCTGTTAGCATAGCTACAGCTGCTACTGTCCTAAGCAGGATGACAAACCAGGCGACACCCCATCTTTTTTTGAAAAGTGTACCACTTTTGTCCTAGATTTTGGGTCAAGATCCTCAAAACGGTTCCGCTCTATTCTGATATGTAGAGGAAGAAGGATGTTTTTTAAAATTTTTTTGTTAAATAGAATAAAATAAAACAAAGCAAAACAAAACAGAGCAGAGTA